GGCCTGCGGAGCGGCGGGAAGCGGCGGGACGGAGCGGGAAGGGGCCGGTGCCGAGCGCCCCCCCCGCCCGGGGGCTCCTCGTTATCCCCCCGCCGAAGTGCGGGGTCCGTTCCCCGGGATCCCCTGCTCCTTTTTCCATGAGCTGGGAGCAGATAAAGAGCAGCCGCCGGGTGCGGGAAGGCGGAAAGCGGCCGGCGGTCTGCTGATAGAGAGCCCCCGTGGCGCGCTCGCTCCGGAGCACTGGGGCAGAGAAAGAGAAAACGCTTCTTAATGCGATAAAATAATTAAGTTACATTCTGCGTTCCTAGTGTGCGCGCCTGGGCGTCCTCGTGTGTAGGCCCTGCCTGTCAAAGTAGCGTCCTTAACCTGTACGGGGGAAGAGGCATAAAGTGCTCCCGGGTTTGGTGTGTTCCTGCAGCACTACAGTCCTTAGACTGTAGATAAAGACTGCGTTCGCTTCCGAAAAACTCATTTAAAAAAGTGTATTAAAACCTAAAGAGTGGTTTTCAAGTCACTCACCAAATATCTATGTATCTCGTTGGCTTTCAACGAAGCTGTAGTAGCGCTGAACACAGGCGTGATAAAGTGATAATTTATTTCTTATGTTGTCGCTTTTAGATAGTGGTAGCATGATTTTACTGGCAAATTTAGACTAGGAACTTTAGAAACAAAAATGCTTAATCCAAAAAAACAAAAGTGATTAATCCAAAAAAAAAAAAAAGACACAATGCAGCATTACTTTTTTTTTTTTAATTAGAAAAGTCATTGAAAGTCTTTGTTACTTTTTTTTTTAGTTTTAACAATTTGTGTGAGTAGGCAAGTTTTGCATTTTGTGTTTGTGGGGAGGATGACTTACAGAAAGCTCTAATCAAGTCAAAATCCTGATCTTAATGAACTTAAAACTTTGCGTAAGAGTGGCAGGTCACACCTGCCAAGTGAAGCTGATGTAGCAAGCACTTTTTTTCCAGCTATACATAGTTAAAGCTTGTTTTGTAATTGCATTAGGAGAAGRCACTTTAGAAATTAGCAGTTCTGGGAGCTTTGAACAGCCTCGGAATTCAAATATTTTAAATTTTTATTTTTTTTAGTATAGATTAAAACCTGAATTTGCAAACTATAAATGTGTGAGTGATGATAGCCCTTTATAAAGGATTTTTATGAGAGCACTGCGTGTGTCATACATCAGCATAGTAAAACAGTTCTTCTCAGCACCAGTAACTGTAAGTAGTTTTATTCAYAGACTCCATGTATCTGAGGAGGGATAGTGTGGGGAACTTCCTGGCATCAGGGAGCTGACTGCAAGGTGCAGTTCAAGTCAGTATTTTACTGTACAGCTTGGTCTGCTCTTTCCTTGGATAAGCTGAAACGTCTGGTGTTTGTGGTGCCTGCTGCCCGGCAGCTCAGCCTTCGGCTCTAAAACCAGCAGTCATGTAAGGTGGCAATTTACGCTGGGGCTGTGAGGGAAGTAGGGCTTTTTTGGTGCGTGTGGGTGTTTGGGGTTGGTTGGTTTGTTTTTTTTGTTCTTTATTTTGTGTCATGTGGCTTCAGTGCCAGTTTGCAGCCTACCCTGCCTCTACACTCTTTGCTGGGGGGCGAGAGTTTCTGCTGTTTCTGCTTACGTGTAGGGACTCAGAGCTCCTCACGTGCACCACCGACGTGCTGGTTGCAGTGCTTTGTAACCTGGAAGGATGAGCACGTTCAAGGAGGAAGCAGCTGTGGCGACGGACCACATCCAGGCTTGTCAAAACCGTGGTTCCGAGTCCCAGCTCTTTTCTGTTTTCCCGGTTCTCGGAGTAGTTTGCCGGGAGGAGGCAGCCGCAGTGGAACGCGGGAGCTGCGGGAGGGTGAGGATGTGCCAGCCCTGCTGAGCTTAGGGAATTGCCACCACCAGGTGAGCCGTGGACTGATACACCCAGAAATGGGAGATGTTGACTGAAGAAGTAAGGGGAGGATGGTAAGCAGATTTAAGAAGAGCAGATAAAGAAAGCTGTTAACACAGGACAATTTTTAGATGTCCTAATACTGTGTCACTTTCCGTGTCTTCATGCCCATTTACCTTTACTTATTAAGTAGCTTTTCTCCTTGCTGTGTTTAAAGCTGATGCCATTTGCATTCATCATCTGTTTCTGCACACATCTGGTTGCTGTCAGATTACAGACTTGCTTCAGAGGGGCTGTTGGAGTGAATAGAAATGAAGGAGGCCTTAACTTATCTTGGTTGGAAACATCTCAAGACTGTTAGAGTGCAGTCAGAGCATTAAAAGACAGCACAAGTTGGGGCCCATGGGGTGAGGGAGGGTGCGTGATGTTTGTGATTGTACTCAGGTTATGCAGAGCCTTGCCTTTCATTTTCTGTAAGGAGTATCTAGCGWGTCAGGCTGTAGAGATAACCTTCCTAGCATGACTTGAGCTTAAGTGATGTCTGCTCGAGGCCGAGGTGTCTGCAGTCCTTGTGTCAACCGCAACTGTTTAATTACAGACCATTTTTTGTGGCTGAATGAGAGTGAGACTGATAGTGAAGCCCATGGGATCTCTAATTGAGTAATACATCCGTATGACTTTTCCGGAGAAGAAAGGACATTTAGGAGAGAACAACAGAATGGCAACAGATTGGGAAGAAGAAGAAATGAAAGGCATAAAAATAATGTTTTTGAAAAGTTCTTTCTCTCTGCTTTTGAATTTTGAATTTGGACTAATGAATATAGCATTGGCATTAAATATTATTAATCAATAGGAAAGCTGATTTTTATTCTTTTGATCCCTTGAGAATTCATCGTGATATTTTAGTGTGCCCCCCCTGGACTGAGAGCTGGATAAGCACGATTAAATGTTGTCTGGACTGTAAGCAAACTAGTGTGCAACAGGGGAAGAAAAAGTGAAAAATAGAAATATAGCCTCACCTTTGTTTTCCCCTCTATTGATATTTGCCTTGCASGTTTTTGAAAGAAAGTTTGAAAAAGAAAACTTGTTGCTTAGAAGTTGCTTTTAAATAAACTCGGGGAAGGCTTCTGCTGGTTTTAAATTTGTTTGCCCTGTCGAACCTCACTCCTGCAAAAACCTACCCACAAATCTTCCCAAAAAGTGTTGTTGTAGCTAATGAAGGACTCCTTCAAATCTTTAGAAGTATCACTTTTTCTTTGTGTAAATAATTTGAARCATTATTCTAACACAATGAAGCGGTGGAAATGAAATAAGTAGCATTCATCCTCAAGGAGAGACAATGACCCAACTAAAATTATTGAATGCTTTTCTTCTCCCTACTTGTTGTCAAATTAAAATAGGTGGCAGTTGCTTCACAAAGCAGGTAACAAAATATGATTTACTTGATCAGAAATAGTGAAAATGAGTAATCTTGAGGTSTAGAGCACAAAGAATAACACGCATACTTTTAGTAATAATTATCTGACTGTCTTTTGTCAGGTTCATGGCTACAAATGATTTGATGACAGAACTACAGAAAGATTCTATCAAGTTGGATGACGACAGCGAAAGGAAGGTGGTGAAGATGATTCTGAAATTGCTAGAAGATAAAAATGGCGAAGTACAAAACTTAGCCGTCAAGTGGTATGTGTTCTTCYTCCATGGTACAAACACTTGTCTAGTGATGGAAAAACATAAAGCTGTTTTGAAAACTGTGAAGGAACATGGCTATGCAAAATGCATGTCATTGATGTCCCCAGAGGGGTTTAATATCAGTTATTTGTGTTTGTTCTAGTCTGTTCCTGTGGAACTTTTATTTACCTTGTGGATGAACATTAGGGGCTTTCCGATGATTAACAGTACATACAAAGTTTCCTGAAAGTGTACAGACAACATGCTTGTTCCCTGGTGGTAATTCTTAAATGYTAAGTAGATTTTTTTTATACAATTATAGTTTAATGATAGTTGCTATGTTGATGTCTGATCACAAGAAGGTAGATGAAATGTAGATGAGGAATTGTAGTATGAGTGGCCTTCAGTCAGAATTAATAGCTTGAAAATATGCATTCTTGTTATGAAGTTTGGAACTTATCTCTTCATCCAACTGGTATTTGAGATTTTTACCTCCTTTACATGAACTGTGAATGTTTTACATACTCAAGATGCAGTTACTTGACTTTCAGAAGCTTCTGCTGTTTCAGTCCCCTCTCTTTATTATACTTTTTGAATCCTGTATTCTGTAATTTTGGAGAGGAGTTATGCTTATTTTGACATACCTATATATATTTATATAAATATTATATATGCAGTCTTATTTTACTTGGTTCCTGAGAATGTTTCTTGTTCCTTAGCTCAGCTTTTTTAACATGCTATGTGTCCGACTCTTATCAYGTATCCCTTGAGGCATGGATTGAAGTAAAGTTACCGTAGAAGAGCGTGGGACAGCTTTAAAAAGGTGTTTCATATTGACTTTGTGACATAGTTTGTTTGTTTCAGCTTGTTATTCTTTAGGATTGGCTGTTTCAGACTGAAAAAGTGCAAAACTGAAGCCTCTGTGTACATCTGCTTATATATAGCTTCTAAACTATTTTTAAGTGAGGATAATGAAAGTCAGATGCAGAAAAACCTGGTTTGGAAACTGTTACTTGTGTAGAAATAGGATGTTGGCAGCTACAATTGAATGTGCAATAGTGGTCTAGCAATGTATTTATCAGTACTTTATCACTACTCTCACCAGATTTGTAACAGTGCTGTTTTAGTTATTTTTTAGTGGATGTTACAAAGTGCCATCTTTCCTTTGACTTCAAACTTTAGAAATGTCAATGTTCCTTGTGGTACACATCAAGTTATTCACCCTTGAAATGAGTAACTTTGCTGAATCAGATGAGACATGTACATGAAATACTGTGTTGATCCTTATCAGACTTGCATCAGGCCTAGAATTGTCCTTTGGTAAAGTAAAATTTTATGGAAAAATTAAGTTACAACATATTGCAATATTCATCTTTAACATAACCCGAAGATCAGATTAATRTGTGTCCTGAATTGTATATGGACACAATGTATATAAAAAATATTTAATATACAGGTTAGAATTGTGACCATTGCAATAAATGGTACTTCAAAGAGACTGCAGAGGCAGGGAAGAGAATTAAAATGACAGAGTCAATCTTAAGTTCAGAATACTTTAAGAAGAATTAAGATAATATTAATGGGAAACCATTAAACAAACTGTGAGGAGACAAGAAAAACACTGTYGGAGTTTCCAAGTAAATCTTGAGCATTCATCTAGAATGCAGAATGATTTGGATATGTCAAATAATTGGAATCCTGATCACGTGCAGATATACCTTGGTAGCCCCAAAAATGGTTGTCTTTTTCTTGAAGCTTTTGTTCAGGATACGGTTCCATGACAGTTTTAAGCCAGTCAAGTTGTTGCTGCTGTAGTCCCATGTTTTCACCCTCTTCGCCCTCTTTTTTGCACTTTGGTTGAGTGCAAAATGAGCTGGTTTGGGGACTTTTTTTTTTTTTTTTTTCTAATTTAGCTCTCTGAATCTATTTCTGCAAATTAGAAAATAGACCAGCCTAAAGATAACATTGACTCTTAGGTGTAACAAGTAAACACTGCCTTTAGTTGTGTCCTATCCTCTACTCAGTGTCATGTTTTGGGTAGGAAGTGATCTGCTTGCTAGCATGCTGAGGAACGTATTTTTTTACTGGTGCATCTCTTGGGAGAGTTTTTTCTTTTTTTCTTGAACCCCTCAGTTGTGTTATACAGCTTGGGGATAGGATGTAACGTGTTCATTCTTGGTTAACAGGAGTCAGCTTGGGAGTTTATGGATATTCTGAGATCTCATTCCAAGATAGTTGTGCTACTCTGTTCAGAAATAAAAGTGAAGGTTAATTGTTTTATTAGGCTTGGAGAACATGCCTGGTCCAGCTTTGACCCTGCAAAAGAGAAATGAGTATATTCATCCAACTTGATGCAAAAAAACCCAATAATTGCAGTTCACCTTGTCTGACCTAAAGATCATATGAAATTTTAAATATATTCTTGTTGTTTATGTTTCGTCTGGAGAAGTTGGGTGTTTTWTTTTGCTCTGCCTGGCAGTTTTACAGTCGAATTGGGGAAAGTGCTGTCAGTTGTGCTTTCAGCACCTGTAGYTTAAGACTCTTCATCCAGCCTGGTGTGATGCCCTGGGTTCCCTGCAGTGCTCGTAGTGGCTCTGCTGCAGGTCTGCCTAGGAGGGCAGACGAGCAGTGTGGTTGGCACAGCGTGCCAGCTGACTGGATGGTGCTGCACTGGTGGTCCTGTCCTGTGGAGGGTGTACTCTCTTGGCCAGAATTGCTCATTAATAATTTCATATGTTCAGYACTGCAGCTTGTGTGAACCGTGGGGTGATACTCTGCCCTTCACATCTGTATCTAGGAGTCTCTATTATTTCGCACTGTGAAATGAAATGCTTACAGAAACCCATCAGAAAAAGCAACTCTAATGTGGAGGTGAATTAACTCTTTTCAGTGATTCCTCCCTTGCAGTTCTGTAGTTTATCTGCGTTCACCAGCGTGACTTTGCTGGGCAGCAGTTCAGTTCAGAGGAGCTGCTCSTTGCTGTGATGAGTCACTAACGTGAACAGGATGATGCTAACGTGGCCGAGCCAGTTCAGCAGCTTTCACATGTTTTGGTGCTCTGGTAACACACTGAGGCACACCACACTGTGCTGGGGTTCTGAGTCAAAGAGGGATTTCTTCCATTTATATGTTTTAACTTTTCCCTTGAAGTAAATATGCTTGTCTGATAGCCTGAAATGAGCATATTTAAATCAATATATTCAGTTAAAAGATGAATTCGTGTCCTTGCCAGTAAGGAGGTTATAATATGCATGCCTTTATTTTCAAATGTTTGTGACTTAAACAGTGGGTTACTGTTACTCTTTACTTTCACAGAAAGTTGACTGTACTTTTGTTTTTGATTTGAGAGAAACTTGACACAAATTACTAATAAAGATAATTAACTAAGGTAGAGATCAAGGAGCAGCTGAAACAGCATCAAAAACTGTCTTCAGATACAATTAATAAATACTTATTATTCTTTCTTTTCATATGCCCCAGTCACAATCTGAGAATAATAATGAGGGCTATAAGAGGGATATTGAYTGGTTATAAAATTCAGTAGGCCAAAAAATCTTGAGATAGTTTTTCCTTTCCCACAAGTGATTTATCAACTTGAACTACTAAGTTTGATGACTATGGTAGTAACCTGGTTTAAGATTTTCTAAAAATATTTTGGGTATCTGCCTGATTTTTGTCATTTCTGTGAAATTTGATTTTTAAAAATCTCAACAAAATCTAGAATCTAGTATTTGAGACGAGTTTAATTGACCAGCCTTTGCTGTAGTTATTTCAGTTACTTGTAGGTTTCATTTGAAAAATAAACACACATTTTAAAATAATTTAAAACAAATTTTTAAAACAAAGAAATCCATATTTGCATTTCAGGTGCTTATAWTTACGGAACTTACTTTTTTAGTGGWGGTCTARCCTGTCAAAGTCATTGCTGTGGGATGGGGTGGGTGTCAGCTGCAGATCTTGGCGCRTGGAACGCTCCCTTTCCTAGAGCTGCACCAGCCTTTCCAGACTGCAYGAGTGAAGGACTCCGTCTCTGTAGCGGTGAGAAGAGTGGTGACACTGCAGGCTGGCAGCTTGCCACGCCAGATTGCTTCTGATTCACAGCAAGGGAGTTTGCTGACTTTCAGGCCTGCTACACTGAAGGCTTGTCCTACTTCAAGGGAGATATTTTCCCTTGGTTTGTATGAATGCACTGCTGTAACTGCACACAGCTTCAGCTTCCCAACGCTTGCACCAGAGCGGGCAGCGTTACGGGCGTGCGGTGGCTTCTAGCTTCTGCCCTCCTCCTTCCCTAGACCTCAGTCCCTTGGCTGGAACACGCCCAGGATTTCTTCTCCAGCCTGCAGTGGAGCGTTGTACCCTTGCACAGTGGATGTTTCTGTTCCCAGTGACTTGTTTGTGCTTCTGTCGCTTGTGAAACAAGTGTGCTGTGCACTAAAGCAGAATAGTGCAACAGGGCTGGGAACAACCCCTGAATAACAGTGGGGGGTATTTGAAGAGAAGATAGTGAGGCAGCAATAAAGCATGGAAAGGGAAATGTTTGGGTGCAAGCAGGTTGTGGAGAAACTTAGGAACATTGTGAGTAGATGATGAAAGMAGTTTAACTTTTATGGAAGCAATAAGGGGTTTCTTGAGTATTATCTCATCTGGGTGGTAATTCTAGGTAATTATCGTGGGAAATGGTTTTGTATAAATTCATTAAGAGTTTAGCTGTGTGGATAAATGTTCCTTACTGGTGTCAATGCCTTTCCCCTAATATTTAAATAAGTTGCAGGATTAATTCAACATGATTGCAACAGGCTAAGATTGTTGCTACAGTCATCTAAGCTGAGGGCTCCTACTTTTCCTCCCCTTCCTTCTCTTTGGGAGGATGAGTAACTGTGCGGAGTGGCTTGTTTTAGATTCTGGCACAGTGCCCCTTTCCTAAAGCAAAAGGCAGTGCCAGTCTAGGACCTGAAGTTTGGTTGGCAACCTTCAGTAAGGGGAGCCTTGTTAGAGCTGTTCATTTCCATCATCCACATGTGTATATTCCTGCTGGGAGAAGCATGAAACCTTCCATCACATCCTTGCTTCTGTCGMTGTGAAGGACTTTTCTCTGCCTTTCTTCAGAGGCTAGTCAGTATCCCACTTAGCAGTTCCCCTTGGATTATCTCTATGAAGTACCCTCTAGAAATATTGTACCAAAGTTTGTTCTTGCATAATTGTTTAAGAGATTGCACTTAGGAGTAAACTGCAGCCACCAGTTCAAGGAGGTTAATGATTTTAATGCTGTCATGTCAGCCTTATTTCAAATTATTTTGAACTTAAAACTCACCTGAAGTTTCTGCGTTAAAAGAGAATGAATTAGTTGTTTATGATATTGTGAAACTTGATCAATACAGTTTGCTTTCACTGCTTTGCTTTTCTATAGAGTTCTGGAAGTGCCCTTGTTTTGAGCAGCGCTTAGGGCACTTTGGTGGGTAAGGAAAGGAGGAAACGGAGYAAGTCATGTTTTATGAGGAAAGGTGTGGTAGTGGTAGGTGTGATTGGCTTGGGCCTTTCATATCCCTGCGTGTTCATCTAACTACTGTGCCTCAAGCATAAAAACTGTTTGGAGTTCAGGGGGTAACACATTCCAAGCTTAGAAACTTGAAGAGAAGTTCTCAGCTTTGCCTGCTGACAGGCAATTGAACCTGGACTTCACTCCAGTTAATACTATATATTGTAAGCTAAGCTTTGTGGCTGAATGCAAATGCCTTTTTAGGTGATAGATGATTCTCCTTTGCCTGTGTCCTTCTCCTGTTTGTGCTGTGGCAGCTGCACGTCCTCAGGTCTCTACTGCTAAACCAGTGCAGCAAACAGGGCTATTTTCTTTCTGCAGGAGACCAGCAAGGCACTAAAACCAGGGAGTTTCCTGTGCTGCTGCTCCAGAACCAACGTTGGGGCCTGTGCCCTGAATGCGGTGGCCTCCAGCCTTTTCTGCTCAATGGGAATCTCTGTGTCCCTTGCAGTTTTATTAGCCAGCAGCCAGCCCAGGAGCCAGCTCTTTTCTTGGGGGYGTTAAACTCCAGAGCATTTCCAGTAGAACAAGAACCACCACGTTGCATGCCGTTTGTGCACTGTAAACACGGTCCAGAAAGTCACTTTCTTTCTGAAACTGTAAGGACTCTGGAGTGTTGGTTCTGTCTTGTTGGTTTTTCTAACACAATAAGAACTGCATAGTAATAAATAAGTAAATAAAAATGATAAGTTTAAACTCAGTTTTTAYATGAGTAGCATAACTAGACTTAAATTTTGGACTATCTACTTTCAGAATAACAGTCTTTGTGGGCAGCTTAGTATCTTGCTAGCTCAGTCACAGTTTCTGCTTGCCTGTAGAGTTTTCTTGTTTGGGCAGTGGACTTAATCCCAGTGCTTTTTTATACGAGGTTCATCCTTAATAGAGAATCACCATCAGAATCTTATGGAATGAAATAAAAACAAATACATTTTTTTTCCTGGTATAAACACTAAGTCTGGARGCAAAGTATTTCCTTTCCAGTAGTCTGATACAGTTAGGATATAATGTATTTAATTTCTTCACTTTACTAGAACCACACATTGATATTTGTTAATCAGGATTGAGCTGTGTGTTTTGAATTAACGTTATTATATTGTGCAGCGAAATTGGGGGTTGTCCCACTGTTTTTTCTAGTGTCTTTTTGATCTTGGTTATTTCTTGTGGAATGCTTTGAAAGGCTAATGTGGAAAAAAATGTGCCTTTGCTATCAAAATAACTTGTGGCTTAACTATTTTAAAAGCCTGATGATTGGTGTTTGCTTCCAAATCAGTGAGAACTGAAGTGCAAATTAATATATTCCAACTTTCTATGTATTTTTTATCCTGAACACAGGAAGATAGTCCACTGTTGAATAGGCTTCTGCATTAACACTTAATGGAGGAGTTAAGCTAGAAGCATTTGTCTACTTGAAGGTTATTGTTAATTGTACTGATTTGTTTTTAAAATACTATCACAATGTGCTTGCTAACCTAGGCTGGTTTTATAKGAAGGCCTAGCTTGAAGTCCTCCCACTTTATTGCTCCTCAAACCTTGCACTGAGAACACATGCAGAATGCTTCAAAACCCCGCGGTGCTTCCCTACTCCAAGTTGTTCCTTCCTTACTCTTACCCAAGTTGAGTTTCTGGTGAAGGGTGAGGCTTGAAGTGYGTGTCAGGAGAGGAGAAGCACCGAGATGCTGCTGAGATGGGACCTTACAGTTTCCTCAGAGGGGACCCCAGGAGCGGCCACCGAACAGACCTGGCGGGAGGCCCGCACTCAGGGCCAAGTCAGAATGGGCCCACAGTGTGTGTAATTCRGAAGGAAATCTGAACTAAAAACAAATGGTAACTTGCTGGAGATGCCTCTGGGTTWCTGTTAATTGTGCTGGTGGGCTATACTTTTGGGTTCATGATTCCTCTTTTTCTGCAGATGGTCCTCATTGTGGTTACCTCCTTTCTTGCCKTAGGCTGTTTCTGCTCTTTCTCCTGTTTGGCTGCTCTCAGCTCCTTGTCCTCTGCCYGTGGTCAGTGCAGAACTGAAGGCTGGTCGAGCTTATTAACCTTAACTYTGTGCCCCATCTCACCTGTAGTGTTGATAAGTCTCGTTAATAATCATGCTCATAGGTAATGATGTTATGGATGACACTATGAAGATTTAAAGAGAGAGCATAGCTGGCATTGYTAAAATACAGAGAACAAAAGATTTTAAAAGGACGGACCTGTGTCTTTCAGAGTAGCCACTCCAYGTGTAGGTGAATGTACTGTTTGTTTCTAGGATGGCTCTGTGGCTCACAGTACCCGTTCTCCAGGATTTGATGTATTTGTACTTGATATGGTACACTTGGGGCATCTGAATTAGGTTAAAAAAAGCAGGTACTCAAAGCTAATTTCCCATCTGAGATGCTTTATCTGAAGGGAGGAGTTTAAAAAAAAAAGAAAAGGAGAAAGTAGGTAAATTAATATGGTGTAAAAAGTTCCTGATAAAGCTATGATGATTGTGACCAACTGTTGACAGTTATTAGTCTTACTGTATGTAGAAAACCTGCTTTTTTGTTTTAGTTTTGCTTATTGAAATAAAACCCTTTTTACTGAAATAATGAGCCTTTTTTTTCTAGCTACCTAGCGAACGGACTTAGTCCTCCACTGTTTAGTAATGAAATACCATAGGATATAACACAGCAAATACCTGGCTGACACTTGAACATTCAATACTAATATAAAGTRTAAAATACTCAACATGTCAATACTAATATAAAGAGCAGCTGCTGGATGTAGGCTTCGAAAGCCAGCGAGATATGTGTTGGTCATGGTGATAGCTGAGGATTGTAGCATCACTACTTAATCACTGTGCCAGTTGAGCTATACTTTTTTTGTCTTGTGTATTATTACTTATAACCTGCARGATCCTCTGGATCCCCTTATCTGTGGGATGGGATTTGGTTTGTAGCTGGTATATGATGCATCTACTCTACTGTGGAGGTCAGTAAAATCAAGGCCCGTGTGTTGTGACTTTTCCTGGCGTGTGAAGAATGAAGAGGAAGACCCAGCAGTGCTGAGAGGGAGGGAACAGGGACAAAAATAAGGGGCTGCTTTTTGCCATTCTTCCTTCTGGGAACAGAGCATTAACAAGAGAGAGTYGCTGGGAGCTAGAGAGGGGACTAGGAGGATGCTGTGCCAGTGATTTGGAAAATGCTGGGATATTCTGCAGCTTTGGGATTTTGAACAAATAGGAGTGAGTGACGTGGGTACACAAGGTGGCCATAATCCTCAGAAGGGCCGGAGAAACTAAAAATTCACAGCTCTGAGGAAAAGAGGGAATGTTTGTTTGGACTGTGCGTATAGCAGCGCCTGCAGCCAGTGTGGAAGAGAGCAAGCCTTTCTTCCACATTTTACCATTTTGTGTTCTTTTAATGCACTCTATGGTTCAATACTGAAGACGGTTGCTTGCTTGATGGTGAGCTAAGTAGGCCCTGATGCTTGGGCATGGAAACCGGTTTTGTGTGCAGGTAACTGTGTTACAAACCTTGGCATAAGAGAGAAGGAAGAGGCCCTTGGACTGTGAGATGAAACAGTCATGCAAAACCAGCTTCTGTTATGAGATAAAAAGCAGTTGCAGTTTGTCACTAGACTTACTGAGAAAGGATATCAGCCTAATCTGTTGAAAGTTTTCAGATTAATCCAATTTATAATGCTACCAAAAATAATCTTAATGAATTCAAAGCCAACATGTGAATAAAATGAGAAATGCCGATTTAATTCCTGTGTGTTCTGTTTATACAGTCTTGGCCCTTTGGTGAGTAAAGTGAAGGAGTATCAGGTGGAGACCATTGTAGACACCCTGTGCACAAACATGCTTTCAGATAAGGAGCAGCTCCGGGACATTTCCAGCATCGGCCTTAAAACTGTGATTGGAGAACTCCCCCCGGCTTCCAGTGGTAAGGCAACTTGTGCTTGAAGCACCAGGGGTTAGGTTTAGCTCTTTTCATTGCTCATTTTTAAAATGCAAAAAGCAGGGTTAACCAAGTAGACTCGGCCTAGTTAACGTTAGAATTGATTTCTATCAGAGGAAAAGTGTATGATAAAAATAGCTTTTTGGTGACTTGTGACTGCACTTCCAAATTTACTAATTGAACTTTTTCGTTGTTATTAATGTAACATCACGTTAATGTGAAAAAGAAAGAAAACTTGCAGTATAGGAATGTTATAAAGCTCTAATAATTATCTAATMGAGTAATAGACTGTAGTAATAGCTAAAATTGCCCTTTCTTTTTGATAGTATGCTTTTCAATTCATTATAACTCTGGTGTCATTCTTAATGTCTAATTTCTTGTCTCAGCTTCTGGTAAGTTTTTTGGAATATACCTTGATTTTCTAACAATTGCCTATTGAGTTACTGCAATATTTACCCTACTTTTTTAATGAAGAYGTTGTGTCTGAGAGAGGTAATAATGACGAACAGCTAGTCAGTTAATAATACTACTTCTTGACTAAAGTGTTGTTCAGGTACTGTAGTGCAGAGAGAAAATGAGAGTGGAAAAGCGTTTAAAAAGGCTTTGAGAATGCAGATTTTTTGAGAGACTCTCACATTTAAGTTACCTAACTAACCAATCTCCTTTATTGAAAATCCTTAAGTCAGTCATGTTTATATCAAGCAGTAGTGCAATGCATAAAGGAATTGTATTTCTTTTTTAAAGAAAAGCAGTGTCTTCTGTGGTAGCTGCACCTTCTGAGGCCACTGCAAACAAAAATAGCCCTCCTTGATGTGTCTKCACATGGACAGTGTTCCAGCTCTAATGCAGAGCATGTTTGCATTAGCAAAAGGAGCGGGTTGTTAATGCTGATTTTGATGGGCAGAAAATTTCTTCAAGTCCGAGTAGTTTCCCAAAGTTGCAAGCATAATTCCTGCCTTTAATCCTGTGCTTCATCCTCCTCCTTATGGCAATGCTGACATTTTGTTGTCCTTCCAGGTTCTGCACTAGCAGCCAATGTTTGCAAGAAGATCACAGGGCGTCTCACTAGTGCCATTGCCAAGCAGGAAGATGTGTCTGTTCAGCTAGAGGCACTAGATATCATGGCTGATATGCTGAGCAGGTAACCAGCCCTCTTGCAAAATGCTGGTGAAGCAGAAAATRCTCCATAAACATTGAACTTTATTCTTTGGAAATGTATTTTCTTTATGTGAAGTGATATGGTAAATTTTTAAGTATAGATGACTTCAAAGGAGAAGAAAGTGAATGTCTTGAGGATGAGTTGCTTGGTATTATTAGTGATTATTACTGATACTCTTGAGCTGTAGTTTTAAGCTTGTTTTAATGTTTACTGCTTTGAAGATGTATTGTAACTCATTTCTTGTTTWTAAATGTTCTAAAAACGTAGATATTTGGAATCTGTGAGATGCTTCGGGAAWGTTTAAATGATCTCTGGTAGAGTATATGAGCAAAATGACCTAGATTCAATTGGTTTGAGTTTGTGTTTTGTCTGTTTTAAGGCAAGGAGGACTGCTTGTTAACTTCCATCCTTCAATTCTGACCTGTCTGCTCCCCCAGCTGACTAGCCCCAGACTTGCTGTGAGGAAAAGAACCATCATTGCTCTTGGTCACCTGGTTATGAGTTGTGGCAATATAGTTTTTGTTGACCTCATTGAACATCTGTTGACAGAGCTGTCTAAAAATGATTCCATGTCAACAACTAGGACCTATATACAATGTATTGCTGCCATCAGTAGGCAAGCAGGTCATAGAATAGGTAAGAAAATATTTTATATAATTATCTTCAGCTCTGAAAGTTTTTAGATGAGAGTAATTACTTTACTAATTTTCTTTTCTCAGGTGAATATCTAGAGAAAATAATTCCTTTGGTTGTAAAGTTTTGTAATGTAGATGATGACGAGCTAAGGGAGTATTGCATCCAGGCCTTTGAATCCTTTGTTAGGAGGTAAGTTATTCTCTGTTACCTCTTTTGGGCTTTCTTGTGGTCTTATGTTGTGTCATCTGGGTATAAATGGCCATTGTGTCTTTTGAGTAATTGAAGGGGGATTAAAGCAGCTTCCTCATAGACAGGTAGTGTCCTCTGTACCAAGTATTTTTGCAAACTTTGAATGGGAACTGTTCCCTTGGCTCCGTCTTGTMAACTTTAAGCACTGTGTTTCCTCTGTGCGTTGGAAACGTTCTCCTGTGCCAGTGCTGCTTGTGCCTGTTGGTGGCAGGGGAGAAATGTTTTAATAAATACCATAGTTATTATTAGTGGTGATAAAAGCTTGTTATCAGAAAAYATATCTAGAGCTTCTGCAGCCTGTCTCTGCAGCAGATTGGGCTACGTGGCAGTGTTGTGCTTGCTGCCTTTTTGACCCCACTCTCTGAACTTACGCACAGCAGAGGGTGTGCTCCATTCTGCTGCTGCGTGGGGTTTTTCTTGTTCTTACTTTTTARGACTGTTTCATCTGACCTTTGCTGCTGCTAATAGCAAGAATTGTGATAGTAGTTTGGAAATGGATATGATGGGAAAGGGATTATATCACTGTTAAGTAGTCAATAACCTGTGCCCATATCTATGAGGATTTGTCTGTCAAAGTTGTGGTTTTTTTCCCTATCCTCATTTCTCAGTTTTTGATTTTGTTGTGACCTGATATATTCTGAATTTGAGAGGGAACTGAATTTCTGATGAAGCTGAATTCAAAAAGAAACTAAGCAAACRGAACTCCCCCACATTCATAGTTATGAATGCATTGATAGTGCTTCATCTGGCGAAGTCCCCAAGGAACATTAAGTGGCTTGAAGTTTTCTATTTTAATTCAGTAACGTAATTTGAAGTTACTTATATTTTTGTGTGCTGCAGGTGTCCTAAAGAAGTTTATCCTCACGTATCTACTATTATAAACATTTGTCTAAAATATCTTACCTATGATCCCAATTACAATTATGACGAYGAAGATGAAGATGAAAATGCAATGGATGCTGATGGAGGTGATGATGATGATCAAGGTACATACCTTTTTCATTTTGAGGAAAGGAAGAGCTTATGAGCTAAACCTGCACTGATTTGAGGAAATTGAGATGGTTCAAAAGCAGCAGCAGCATTTTGAGTGCCTTGAGTACCTGTGCGTTCAGTTCTTGTACTACTTTGACAGAGCTTTCGAGCTGTTTGCTCGGAATGGAAGTACAGGATGATGATGGAATTTTCAGCATGTACTTGCAGTGCATCTGCTAGAGATGAGCAATACCAAGGATGAATATAAAGATAAGATAAATATTTAACACCGAAAGAAGGAAAAAAAAATAGATGTTAAATGACAGAAGCATGTAGGATAGTCCAAATGGAGTGAAAAAATCTGTTATTGATTTGAAAAGACAGATGCCTCTTTACTACTTTTCAGTAGAAAATATCGTTGTCTAATGCATGAAATTGGTCATAGTTTAGAATTGCAAAATATTTTTCTTTAGGATAAAAATGTTTTAGGCTGAAAAGAATAATTATTTATTGTGGCTAAACAGGCTAAATGCGTGTTATATGTAAGCTCTATTAAAACATGGACACGCAACCAATATGGACCCAGAACACAATGTTCTTTTTACTTTGAGTATTAATGAGCCCTATACTGTTACTTATAAGAAGGAAATGCTTGCCATGYTTATTCTGTACTTGCTGCTATTATTTGATAGGTATAATGGCACATTTTGCTTTCTTCCTACAAAGAAACGGGATACTCTAAATCTTGATCAATTAGTAATTTTTGCTCCCTTATTGCTTGTGTGACAAATAAAGAGGAATATGCTTTAAATCAGTAGTTGGGCTGTAAATATGGCAAGGAGGCACTCTGTTACTTTTGTAGTTTAAATTACTATAGTAATTTACTAAATAAATTAGAGGTGTAAAATTACTTTGAGGAAAATAAGCAGAAAAAAACATTTTAGGTACATATTTTTTAGCATGCTCTTCTCAACTATTTGACTTTTGTTACACAAAGAATCGAAGTGTATTTTATTTTTTTTAAATGAAACTGGATGCTTTGATTGTCTGGGCTTGAACACGTGTGTAACTTCTCTTTTTCCCCAGGGAGCGATGATGAGTACAGTGATGATGATGACATGAGCTGGAAAGTGAGGCGCGCGGCGGCCAAGTGCCTGGACGCTGTGGTCAGCACGCGCCACGAGATGCTGCCCGAGTTCTACAAGACTGTATCCCCTGCTCTCATAGCCAGATTCAAAGAGCGGGAGGAGAACGTCAAAGCAGACGTTTTCCATGCGTATCTTTCTCTTCTGAAGCAAACTCGACCTGTGCAGAGTTGGCTCTGCGACCCTGATGCGATGGAGCAAGGAGAGACGCCTTTGACGATGCTTCAGAGTCAGGTTATCTGTTCAGATTTCATATGTTTGGAATATATCCTGAGGCTGTGCTGTGATTTTAGTTGCTTGCTTTTACCTCTAAAACGTACATGTCGTAGTTTAGTCAAGTTATCAGAGCAAAATCATTTATTTTTTTGCTTCAGTAGTATTGAAATAAGTAAGAAATAAGTATGAAATAAGATCTAATGATCAAGGTAAAACTTGTTTTTCTGCCAGGTGTTTTATTTAAAGGAAAAAAGGATGGTTAGTGCTGAAGAACAGCATTTTCCCTCCCCAAATGAATTATTAGCATGACTCTTAAAATGTTGCTCCATACAGTTGTGTTGTTATTGCAAATCTGRTTTTGCTTTTTTCATCTCGCCTTTTAAATTGCTTTAATGCTTTTTGGGATAGTATTTGTATAAATACTCTCGAGTGAAGCTTAAAATCAAAGTTCTCTAGTTCTACAGAGAAATGGAGTGATATATCGTTCACCTCCGGGAATATATATCCCTCAGTGATATGAGGGAAGAAATGATACGTATTTAACCTATTAACTTAAGTTTGATGATTACAGGTTCCCAATATAGTTAAAGCCTTGCACAAACAGATGAAGGAGAAAAGTGTGAAGACCCGCCAGTGTTGCTTTAACATGCTGACCGAGCTGGTAAATGTGTTGCCTGGAGCCCTAACACAACATGTTCCTGTGCTTGTACCAGGTAGGAGAAACATGCTATTAACTGAAAAAAAGGTTTGCTAGTAACCTGCATGTGAATTTTCTCAATCTTTAAATCTTGACTATGATTTTATAAATGTTTGAAGTAGAGCTTCAGTTTAAAGAATTTGGCAGAATCATTTCTGTGTGAACACATATAAATATTCAGCTGATGTATTTCCATTAACCTTGAAAACAAGGATTGCTCTGAGATTAACTTTTTTCTTCCAAATTTAGAAATAAAGATGATTTGCCTCTAGTTTCATGATCAAATTTTTTCTTCATTTTCCTTTTACCAAAATACTGAATTTTAAAGTAACAAGGAACAGTACGCTCTGACAAGATGAGAGTTCCTTTATAGTTAGGAAAAAGCATTATAAAATCATTAGCTGGTCCAYGCTGTGGGTTTTCTTCATAGAGGAACCTTGAAGAGTAATTGTTTGAATAAAACAGTGGAAGGGACTGGGAAACATATGGGAAAGGCTGAGAGCAGAAAAATATCAGCACCCTATAGCTGCCATCCCTCAGAAATTTTAAAATGCTCTAAGAGAATAAACCTAAAGATAATTTTTTCTTTTATTTTACAGGAATAATTTTTTCACTGAATGACAAATCAAGTTCTTCTAATCTGAAGATAGATGCTCTGTCCTGTTTGTATGTGATCCTCTGTAATCATTCTCCCCAAGTCTTTCATCCTCACGTTCAAGCATTGGTACCTCCAGTTGTTGCTTGTGTTGGAGACCCATTTTACAAGATAACATCAGAGGCTCTTTTGGTTACACAACAACTTGTGAAGGTCATTCGTCCTTTAGACCAGCCTTCTTCCTTTGATGCTACTCCTTACATCAAAGATTTATTTACTTGTACAATCAAGAGATTGAAGGCTGCTGACATTGATCAGGAGGTAAAAGAGAGGGCAATATCTTGCATGGGGCAAATCATTTGCAGCCTTGGCGACAGCCTTGGCACAGACCTGCCCAGCACCCTTCAGATCTTCCTAGAGAGACTGAAGAACGAGATCACTCGGTTAACTACCGTGAAGGCCATGACACTGATTGCTGGCTCTCCTTTGAAGATAGATCTGAGGCCAGTCCTTGGGGAAGGAGTTCCTATTCTTGCCTCTTTTTTAAGAAAAAACCAGCGAGCTTTGAAACTGGGCACTCTTTCTGCTCTAGATATTCTAATTAAAAATTACAGTGACAGCCTGACAGCCGCCATGATTGATGCTGTCTTAGATGAGCTTCCACCTCTCATTAGCGAGAGCGATATGCATGTGTCCCAGATGGCCATCAGTTTTCTCACAACACTGGCTAAAGTATATCCTTCTTCCCTGTCCAAGATCAGCGGGTCCATTCTCAACGAACTTATTGGGCTGGTGAGATCGCCTCTGCTCCAGGGTGGAGCACTTAGTGCCATGCTAGAGTTTTTCCAAGCTTTGGTGGTGACTGGGACGAATAATTTGGGGTATATGGATCTGCTGCGCATGCTCACGGGCCCAGTGTACTCGCAGAGCACAGCACTTACTCACAAGCAGTCTTACTATTCCATTGCCAAATGTGTAGCTGCCCTTACCCGCGCTTGCCCTAAGGAAGGACCAGCTGTCGTAGGTCAGTTCATTCAAGATGTCAAGAACTCCAGGTCCACAGATTCCATTCGGCTTTTGGCTTTGCTTTCTCTTGGGGAAGTTGGCCATCACATTGACCTCAGTGGACAAATTGAGCTGAAATCTGTCATTTTAGAAGCGTTCTCCTCTCCTAGTGAAGAAGTCAAGTCGGCAGCGTCTTACGCRCTAGGCAGTATTAGTGTTGGCAACCTCCCCGAGTACCTGCCGTTTGTCTTGCAAGAGATAACCAGTCAACCCAAGAGGCAATACCTTCTCCTTCATTCCTTGAAAGAAATAATTAGCTCTGCATCAGTGGTTGGTCTCAAACCGTATGTTGAGAACATCTGGGCCTTACTCCTGAAACACTGTGAATGTGCAGAAGAGGGGACAAGGAACGTTGTTGCCGAGTGCTTAGGGAAGCTTACGTTAATAGACCCGGAGACGCTGCTCCCCCGGCTGAAGGGTTACTTGGCATCAGGTGAGTGGCAATATTGGAGCTAATGGCCTCGTGCTCCCTATTAATAAATGAAATGCATCTGATTTTATAACTTCTGTGCTTAAATTTTGTGATATTTCAGAAATATTTTTTCTTCTCTCAACCAATGTGAAGTTTAAGTATAAAAATAGAGTTTTTCCACAAGGTGTTTTACTGGACATGCTTTCTAGCCATTGCTCTTGCCTTTTTCCTTGAGGAAGTTAACTCTGTAACATGAGCRACTCTCATATTTTGCTTTGGGATAATGGTATTTCAACTAGTAATGCTCAGTTTATCAAGGAGCTGTGAAATTAAAAGGAACAATAAGGGGGAAAAGAAGAATGGATTACTTGACTGATCAATTGCAACATATAGACATGCTGAAATAAACTGCACTGTTTCCAATCTTTAGATTAAAATTCTGAGATGTTTAAGGGTTAGGAAGGTGGAGGATCATTGTGCATAATTTGTGAATGAGTTTCACATTGTGAACTTATCAGCATAAATATTTTCCTATGCTTTTGCTTTAATGAGTAGAATTTGCAAACCTATTTTTGAATTAAAAACATCTGTCCTAGTAGGTGCCTTACTTCTATGTTACCTTCTACAAAAAATTCTATAATTGTTTTTTCTGTTTAAAATGCAATATTAGTACATATGTGGAAGAAACTTAGTAATAATGTTATAATAAATATTATAACATAATTACTTAATATAACATTAAATAATAAAATAATTTAATAATATATAATTAAATGAATAATATATAATAAGCTTATAGTAATAATTAATAGTCTTAAAGAATATATTTTTTTAAATACCTGATGTTCTTTAGATTATTGAAATTCTGCTGTTGTACTGCTTTAATATTATTGTAGTATTCACAGTTATATTTCATTATTAGGGTCATCGTATGCTCGAAGTTCGGTGGTTACTGCCGTTAAATTCACTATTTCTGACCACCCACAACCCATAGACCCACTCTTGAAGAACTGCATAGGTAAGTTTTTTGTTTTAAGTAACGACTTTTAAGTTTCCAAGCAATAGAATTACATTTAAAATCTGTTTGTTGCTTCTTCAAAAAAGGACTTTGCAGGTTGTCTGAATTGGTAGCTATTGATAGGAACAATTACAAAATGATTGCTCAATAGCCACTTTTATTGAAATTTAAGTTTCTTCGAATTCTGAGAAGTAAAAAGGTGTGATGAAAGTATTGAAGTGATGATGGCAGAAGGTCTCAGCTATTTGGGCTCGCGTGTGTGTAAGGAGGCTCCTTCTTCACCTGCAACAGTGGTTAAGATGATTTGGGACATTCTGTCACTCCAAATCCATAAGCGTGTGTGAATTTTATAGAGCTTACTGTAAGTTTAGATGTTGGCAGTGCTATAATGCTTTGGTGTGTGAAAGTTATTGGAAGCCTATGTATTTTTATAGAGGGATAAGGTAATTGGAGCGTTATAGTATGACAGAATTGTGGAGCTGTGGCTTTTTGATCATAGCATATGTTCTCATTTGGATGACACAACAGTAGTGTAGATTTGTCCATAATGCTATGGTGAATGTTTTAGAGTGATCAATTGCAGGATTTAATTTTTATAAAATTGTATATACTGCTCAGTCTAATGCAGGGGGAAGATTAATCTTTTAAAACACATAGTTTTGTAGAGAGCCAAGTTTTTATGTATAGGGTAATGACATCAGTTGACATGCATTATTTTTTAGCACTGAGCTGAAATATTTAAAAAGTATTAAAGAATTGACTGTGTTTGTGAACTTTTCATCTGGCCCTCCCCTCAGCTCGAGCTGAGTTGCTGTTTTGTTTCTAGAGAAAAATTTTGGCTTTCTGGTTAAAAAAAACTCTTAGCACGTAGTAGTTCAAAAGTCTTTGCTGTCTTTAGTTTTGCACCCCATACCTTAGTGTGTATAATGGTGATTTAGGTGTTTAAACACTGCTGTTTTACCTCCAGTTTAAAAATAATTGTTCATTGTAGAAGTTGTTAATAAAACATCACAGTCGTGGGGAGGAATACAGTATATTCCTGCAGGTGTTTGTTTTACTATAGGCAGTGTTCCAGAACTCTAGGGAATATGAAAATGTGCTGTGTGTAGAATGGTGGAGGTGTTCTTACATTAATGTATCTTCTGGCAAGTTAGGAAGCCTTAGTGTATGTCCAATTGAGGAGCTAAAAATACAGTATTGATAGATTCCTTGAGAGAGCTTCTTGAATTCTTAAACTGCAGAATTGGCAGCAGGTTTCTAAAGCATCTTCCAAGAGACCTTAATGGGGAAAAGGAAAGATAGTGTTTCATAGCTGTTAAATATAATTCTTACTCCTTTATTTGTTGTACTTGAAAAACCAACACACTGTTGAAATATTATTAAATGATAGCTATTTATTTGGAATTTTTCTTTATTTTTTTTCATTATGTGAACATTACCCAAACATTACTCAAATATATTAATATTTTTCTTAAGAATATAATTAGATATCTATATTTATATAGTCCTGCTGAAATAGCAGATATTGGTCTATGCTGCATCAAAATAACTCTTACCTTAAAACACCTCGCTGAAAGGCTAAAACTAAGGGAGAATACTCTTAAAGTAGGGAGCAAAACACTCATGAGGTGATTTCTTTCTGTATACGGTTGCAGGTGATTTTCTGAAAACACTGGAGGACCCAGATCTCAATGTCAGGAGAGTAGCCCTAGTGACATTCAACTCGGCCGCCCACAATAAACCATCACTAATAAGGGACCTGTTGGACACGGTGCTTCCTCACCTCTACAATGAGACAAAAGTCCGAAAGGAGCTAATCAGAGAGGTATGTGAACCAGGAAAAACAGGGCTAAACCTATGCAAATAGACTCCCAATTTTTCTAACTATATTGCTTTTAAACTTTTGTTTGCTGATGCAGGTGGAAATGGGACCATTTAAGCATACAGTTGATGATGGATTGGACATCCGAAAAGCAGCTTTTGAGTGCATGTATACCCTTTTGGATAGCTGTTTGGACAGACTAGATATTTTTGAGTTCTTAAACCATGTTGAAGATGGCTTGAAGGATCACTATGACATTAAGGTTGGGTGTCATTTTTCTCTCTCTAAGTGGTATATTAGTCAAAACACTTTAAATATTGAGTAGACTGAAATGGTAAGAGTATTTCATGTGCTTAAATATTTCACTATATTTGCCACTTTCCTTAATGCTGCTGTTAGGTTGCATAGCATTCTAGGAGATACCTTTCAAAGTGCTTATGTGACTGTTGAACTGGTTTTCTCTCAAACTAGATGCTAACCTTCCTAATGCTGGTGAGACTGTCTACGCTGTGCCCAAGTGCAGTGCTGCAGAGGCTGGATAGGCTGGTTGAGCCTTTGCGTGCTACGTGTACAACCAAGGTACGGGTTTACATTTAATCTGCTCTTCTTGAGTTGATCTGTGGTATTGATTTGTGGACATTTACATGAATTTGTATATGAAGAGTACTACTGAGAGTTTAGTTCTATTGCTGCAACGTTACTTGGGTTATCTCCTATAAGTTGCAGTAGCTAGACAATATAATGTAATTATTTAGAGCCTTATATATGTATTAAATGTTTCTTTTAAGTTTCATATAAAGAAGGAGATAAGTTCATTTTTTTTCTCTTTTTTTTTTTTTTTTAGATTCTCTGGTATTTTGGTTGGTAGTTCTTTAGTTCCTTATAAAGGCAGGTGCCACTTGGGCACTTGTAAGTCTCAGGTTTTGTTATGAACCCAGCAAATGTAATGCTGACTCTCTGACTCTTCCCCGTGACTGTTGCTGATCACGTTGCTGCAGACAAGCATTGGGTTGCTGAAGGATGGGGGCAATGTAAATTGGTGAATTTTTCTTTGGTCCCTCTTCATTTATATAGTTACAGGGTTATTGGGATACAGTTGGTTCCCCCCTTGCTCTTCATATGTGCGTACACCTAATTTCTCTGAGAGCAGTTTAATGCCTGCTTTACCTTTCTTTTGCCATTATGTAATTTCTATGATGTTAAAATTAAGAAGTGGAACTGCCTTTAATGCCAAATTATATTTGTATCATTGAAACATCTGTGAGGCTTGGAACAGAAGACTAACTTGTTGTTCTAGTAAAGGCCAATGTTTTTGTTGAAATCTTGTCTTTCAGGGTCCTAATACTGTGATAACGTTATTTACTGTCCTTGCTAACTGCAAGTTGGCTACTCTGTTTTAATTTGGTAATTGGTTTGATAGCTCAGCTCTTCTGCTTAACTTGCAATGTTCATGTTTCAGTCAGTTGTATACTGCTGGTAAAAAAAAAAAAAAAAAAAAAAAAGTGGTATCTAATAATAGATTAGTTTTATTCTTATTTTCCTAATTTTCCTTACGTGAACAACTACTAAAATTTAGCAGTTGCGCCATTTTGAAAGCTCTCCAAAATGATAGGATGGAATGATATATATATATACACACACACACACACACACATACACATATATTATATATTTTTTTAAGATGGATGTAGAGAAAGAATCAAGTAAAAATATCATATGTATGTTATTTTTTCTGCCCTAGGTCAAGGCAAACTCGGTGAAGCAGGAGTTTGAAAAGCAAGACGAACTGAAACGGTCTGCTATGAGGGCAGTCGCAGCGCTTCTAACCATTCCCGAGGCAGAGAAGAGCCCACTAATGAGTGAATTTCAGTCACAGATAAGCTCTAACCCTGAGCTGGCAGCCATCTTTGAAAGTATCCAAAAAGATTCATCATCCACTAACTTGGAATCAATGGACACTAGTTAAATGTTTGTCCAAAACAGGGACCATTATGTTGAACCAGATGATGCACTGAATTGACAGGTTATGAGTAAGAAACAGAAAAGTATCTAATCTACACATTGTTCCACTTTATTTACCTTTAAGGAGACCGTTGGCTTTTCCCATTGTTGCTTTTCTAGCATTTATTCCAGAAATGTATTTCCATGATCCAGAGTTTGTTAACCACTCTTGTTTTAGTGGATTTGGCCACATTTGGGAATAAAAAGTTGACGCATGGTGTATGGAAATAGGTTCCAACATCCATTTGCCCTGTAACGTTTAGGATTAAAATGTTAAAATTTTGTGACCACGATTATTTTTTCTTTTATTCACTCTTTCTACTTGTAAAGGCAAAAAAAAGGAAGGTGGGTGGGAAACCCTCCAGGTGCACCATGTTTTTGTATGACTTTTATTCTTTTTTCTTTTTTTTTTCAGCTTCATAAATTGATTTGGTTGGCAGACAAAAAATCTGTGCAAGATTTCTTATATTAAATATAGGGTTTGGGCACAGTTCCAAAAAGCAGACATAAATGTCATTTTTAAGTGTGGGGATTAGAAAACCAGCGTCCCCGTTGTGCACACTAACTTTGCATGACCAAGTTTACAATTATATAGTGTCTGTAAAACAGCATGTGCAGTTTATTCGTAATGCAAGTTAAAATCAGTGCTGCTGTGTCAGTGCAGTCTTCAGGTATTTTGACATACCAGACCTTCATCCAGGAAAGGATGAATGGAGGTTGGCTGTCTTAAATGGGCTTTTTTAAATGCCAGTGGTGTGGTCTGTGGATGCTCTTGTAGCACATGGAGCAACCAGTATCAGGGTGTTTCAGACTCGAAGGCTGGATCCCCTGAAATTGAGGTGGACAAAGCAGAACATTGAAGGAAAGTTTGATGAGATGGAAGTAAAATGAGCAGAGAATTGGAGGAAAATAGGATGAGATGGGGGTAAAATGAGCAGAGAAGAGCAATAGCTGCTGGATGGCCGCTGAACTCTGAGTCCAACTCTGCTTTTACTAAAGGTGCATGAGGAGGTTTCAAGTGGCTTCTACCTCCTCTTCCTCATCCTACAGCTTCCATCCAGGCCCCACACAGTGTCACCTAGACAAGTATTCCCAAACCATCATTCTGTGCCTAGGAAAATGTTTTCTGGCATAGGGAACCACCAGTAACTGCTGTGCTGCAAGTGTCTTATGGCCACCTGGTGAGATAGGAGGCTTGGAGCCATCGTAAGCCTGTCGAGAAAGAGAAATGTTAGACAGCAAACAGGTAGTGCGAGACAAGTGTGCTGTAGCACACAGAGGTCGTGTGGGACAAGGGGACAGCTGGCAGGTCCCTCTGACCCTTAATAGCAGAACCATCAGTGGGAGCCACTGCCTCAAATTAAGACTTGCCATTACTTTACACAGTTGTCTTTTTTAATCGGCTCTGATTTTTTTTCCTAGTTAACTGATTTATTTTTTTATTATTTTTTTTATTAGCTATTTGGTATTTTGGAACCCTAGTACACAAATGTGGTATATGCTACAGACTTCAACAAAAACATGCATTTTTATGACCTCTGAGACAGTTTTCCATAAGAATTGGGGTTTTTAGGAGCACATTTCTAGTCTTACATGCTTGCAGGTTGGGGAAAGCAGAGAGGCATTGATGCATTTTACTTTAATAAAAGGACCTGAACTAAGATGTTTTTGAACTCATTCCGTAGTACAATTTTAATGCTGTAGAAATTTTTGAAACTGTAGCTTTGTCTGTCTCCAAAAGTCTTCAAACTAATGTAACAGTTGTCTTCTAGTAGTAGAAATAAATGAGATTAACTGTACCAATATATTTAAATGTCATGGAAAAATATGGATGACTCTAGTGAGAAACCATATGGTGAGAAAAGCACTGTGAATTAGGTGCATTTTCCCCTGCTGTACAACTCATCTACTTCAATTACAGCAATATACAAAACTCCTAATTAAGAATCTGCTGTGCTAATTAGTTGTCAAACTTATCTTGGTACTTCTGTGTAAAGTTCTCAGAGTGCATTAAAATGTCTTACAGACCTCAAGTTAGGTGTGAAAATGGTATGATAAACACAAAACGCGTGGTAAGCAGGATGGTGAACAGGATGCGTATGAATTTTGTTGGTTTTGTTTCATAATTCCTTGCTATAGAGCAAGCTTAAGGACAAAAGAGAAGGCTGGGATATATTAGTGTATTATTAGTGCATGTTTTCTTGCAGGACACAGTACTTGTTGCTTTGACCACTGATAAAGCAGGTGGCAATATTAAGAATTAAGTCTTCCGTGTAACTTGTAGAAGCTTGAGAATAAAGTTTTCTCTAGAAAGCTGTGGGATATTTCCACAGTGTTAAGGCAGGAAGACAGGCTCACCAAGGACATAACTGCACCATAATTTCTGCAAGTTTTTATTAGTATTTGGAGCATATAATTAGGTTAGGAGTTCAAATTCCACTGATGTTCACTGGATTGCCTGATTTGCAGTGGTTTGTGTTCATCACTGTATATGCAAGTATTCTGATAAATCTGATTCACTCTTGGTTTCTAGTGTAATAAGGTTCAAGAAATTCTTTTAAGGACGATGCCAAAAATCCTACTAGCCTTTTTACTTTCCTTCTGCCACTAAATATTTGAAACTAAAATATGAAATCAACCTCCTTGAGCAAAACACAAATTCTGTAAGGATCTCTTAAAGATCCCTTGTATGGTTAGATTTTGTTCTTTTATTTTTTGCACAGAGGCAACAGAGAAGTAAATGAACTTGCACATAATATATAGATCAAAAAAAAAAAAAAAAAGGCCATTCCTCAAAATGTAGATTCTTGCCTTTAGCTATCTTTTTTTTATTTCTCAAAAATAATGTCTTCAGTAGGAAAAGTTGCCCAGCGCACTCTGATCTTGTGTGCGAAATCTTCTAATCTTTGCAAGGGAGATATCTTCAAAAATATACATTTAAAACTACAGGTACCTTAAGAATGTTGCACTTTAATCATGTAATTTTTTTTGAGAATGTTACACCTAGCATAGAGGTTGACATAGAAAGAGCTTAGGTGCTTTGAGACAGAGCTTATGCAAACTAGGAGTTCTAATGCAGCTCTTGTTGGTGTGCGGTTGATTGGGGTCATCTGTAGGCAACATCGCTCCTCATGCCTCAAAGGGTTATTTTGACATCAAATCAGTTCAGAATTGTGAACGAAAAGCTCGTGTATGTGGGTATTGTATACGACTACACCTCGGTCATAATGCTAGGAATAAGCTAACCCTTCTGTGGTCAGCTGGTTGGTAGTAGTGACTTTGTAGGCCTCGCTTTATATTTAGTGGTACTTCCCCCTCTCCCCCTTAACGTTGGAACGTTTTTAAAAGCAAAGTAACATGTGGCCTTAGAAGTTTAAAAAGAATAAAAATAAAGATCCTGGTTACTCTGACTGAAAGCTTACTCTTCACCTGTTTCACACAACTACCAAACCATCGCGCTGGAAACCTGGGTTGTGTTATTCCCTCGTGGCCTGCTTTAAACTTCAGAGCAAAAGTGCTTTTTTTGTTGTTTACTGGTTTTAACATTCATTTTGGAACAATGATACATCTTGCTCTGTTCATTACTTTCTGTCCTCATTTCCTCCTTGACGTGGCACGGGAGCTTTGTGACTGGGAGCGTCGCCTTGGTGCTCTAGAAGAGCTCCCTCAGTAAGGAGCTTACAGCCCAAGTTGTCTTTTACCTTTAAACAGAACTGTTTATCAGCAGCAGTTAGTTTTTTTTTCATTGTATCTAAGTCCGGAGGGAAGAGAAATCAGGATTCTCAGCTCTAATGAAGGTGAGTTGATGTCCCAGGAGCAGCGTGGGCAAAGCAAGGAGGTCCTTAAAGGGGATCAGGCATTTTGTCTTCATAGGGAGTTATTCTTTCTTAGAGGCGTTCCAGCCATGAAGCTTTAATGCTTCCACACAAGCTTTGGGGAGGAGAAGGCTGCATTCCAGAAAAATCATCCATGCCTCAAAAGAAACAAGGGTTTCTGTTACTTTAGGCCATGTACTGGGTTGTAGAACATACCCCTGAGCCAGGGAAGAACACAAGCATGTTTCTCAGAACCACACAAGGGCTGGAATACAGATGTTAGATGAAAGAAAAGGAAAATGGAATCTGAAAGTGCAAATATTTTCATCACATAAAGCCCAAAGAGAACTCTCCTTTCTTTTGTGTTCTGCTTATGATCATATTTTTGAAGACTGGAATTACAGAACAAAGGAAAAAGTAATTAGCAAACTATGACTGCCTGTGAACCTAGAACCTGCCTATTTAACTTCTATCCTTGCCTGCTGCTTAAAAGTATACCAAAAAAAGGCATGAAAATATTGCAGTTATTTTGACAAAGGGACGTGGTAATCCTGAAGAGGCTTTTATTTTGAAAGCTTTAAAAAAAGTTTTATTTTTTTCTTATATATTTTATTTTGAAGAAATAATCCTTTCCTAGGTGGAGGTCTCATGAGAACTTGAAGGAAGTTTGATACCATCACTGAAGGTTTTAAGAACTAAGTTGTGTTGCTTAGTTCTATATAATAAAGATATTCCTGGGAAACTTAGAACAAGTTTCCAATTCATTCTTTCACAAGGTTTTTTATTTTAATAATTAAAAAAAATGATCTTCTGTGTGACTGACTTCCTTTCAGCTTCCAGCTTTGCTTATCTTCAGCTGAAGAACTAGCGGGCACTTATTGCTGGGCACTTTGGTGCCATCCTTCCTGGGAGCTGCTAATGTCTCTTAACAGGAATGTAGTTGCAAAAAAAACCCCAACTAATCCTCCCCACAAGAACTGACCCATGTACATTCCTGTGGTTTCAAGCAGCGCTGTCTTCATAACTCACCTGGGAAATATTTCCAGTGTTTTGCCGTGTCCTGCCAAGCCACCGTTCAGCTACTCGACCTCTCTGCTTTCCTTTTAAAAAAGGCATTTTTGGAGGTTTTGGAGCTCTGCCGGCCTTCGGAGCGGTGCCTGGTTTCTGCGCTGGGTGGGTGTGAGGCTCTGGAGCTGGGCTGATGTCTGGAAGCCGCAGTTCATGCCCAAACCTGAGCACAGCAATTCCCCGCCGCAGGAATGAGCTTTCTCACCACGTGCTAAAGAGTAAACCTTGCACCACTTCAGCCACGCTTGCAGCATCGGCATCGCTCCCCCTGAAGATGCATCTTTTGGTAAAGCAGTATTACTACATTGCCTTCTAAGCAAATGCTTAAAACCTGGAGTTTCTGCCTCCGATAAAGGAAACATTTCTGGTTTGCCTCTTAGCTTTAAAAACATTTTTTTAGCGTTTCAGTGCTTCACTGCTTCTAATTTTCTGCTTCTGAAAAATGAAGAAGTGTGTGTCTATGCAGCCAAATGAAGGATTTGTATGTGGTAGCTTCCTTACTGTTGGCAGATTTTTCCTTATTTGGTACATTCAGGTAGTCTGTGACTGGAATATAAAAGAAGAAAACTGAGAAGCAAATTGAAAATTAGAATTGTGCACCGTGAACCCTGCTGCTGGTTCTTGAATGTGTTGATTCAACAGGTGAGGCATCTCATCTGCCCTGGAGCCACCTGTATTTTCTAATGTTGCTGGAAAGTCAGTATAAACATTAAAGATCTCAGTTCTGATCCAAAGTCATCATTCTTTTAGACCTGAAGAGGTTCAGTTTCATGGTACAAATGAAATATGGGAGCCGTGAATCTGATTGTGCCAGCAGTAGTTTATTTTGGGTGTATTGTTTCTCTCTCTCTCTCTCTCTTTTTTTCTTTTTTTTTTTTTAGTGCTAATCAAATTATACCTTAACATGACTTGCTTAAGGTAACTATGAAATATCCTATGCCTAACACATACTAATTTCTGCAGCCTCGTACCTGTGTGCAAATGGAAAAGAACTGGTCGCTATGATAGRCTTTCCCCTCATTGATTTGTATCGACTTTCCCATGATAAAAACAATGTTTATATCTTTGTTCTAGCTCTATAATCTAGAAATGTTATTCGCACATAGATGACAGATAGAAAAGTGACCTGTGATTCCCACTTGATTCTCTAGACAATCTTGCTATAATGAAGAAATGAATGTTTCCTTTGTGTCTTAACCTTGAAAGTCTTCCCAGAGACATTGTTCTTTACCCAAGCCTTACTAAGATTGTATGCTAGGTTGCTTGGGGAGACTATATATCTTTATTTGTTTTTACAAATTGCATATGTTAAATTTTACGCGGGGACCTCTGAGAGATGCTATGCCTAAATGCAATTAAAAGCAATTTTGAAGAAGTCCACAGTTCAACTCCACCCTTGCAGTGAACAATCAATGTATTTAAAGTTTATTGCAATTTAAAATACCATTTAAAACAGTGTATGTTTCCAACTTACCACAATAAAAATTTGCACAAGGAGAAAACAATATGTTCCATGGGCAGCATGACTAGGGGCTTGTAGATTTGTCCCTTGTCCCCTGAATCCCTGAACGTTTGCGCTGCATGAAGAAGCGTATGTGCTGCAGCTCTAGACCAGCTTGCCAGTGAGAGGCTGCTGTTTGATGTTTGGTGCCTGCAAAACAGTTTCATGGCCAAGTTCTGCCTCTGTTTGAGCGAGTTCGTGGATGGTACTGGCTGCTTTGGGTCTTTTCCCTGTCCTGCTGCTGCTGCTTTTGACAACAAGTTAGAAAACAACAGCAACAAAAGATCTGGGCAGGTAAGAAGATGAGAAAGTTTTGCATTTCCCATAAGTCAGACTAAGTAGCCTATCAACTTAGCATAGTTTTTACCAACTAAAACTCAGAAGTGATTTTTTTTTCCCTAATACGGTGAGTTGAAAACTTATTTTCATGGCTTAGATGACGGTGCATTTTCATTTCTGATTTATGATCAGAACTTCATGGAGCTGTAGAAGTGAGGTTGCAGAAGGGTGAGATGCTTGAGTTTGGTACCTGTGGCAGGGGGAAAAAAGCAAAGCAAAACCTTCTAAGCTGCTGCTTTCTCCCTTGATACTACTTTTGGCACCTTAAGTGGACTGAATGATAGAAGAGCCTCAGAGTGGCTGCTGCAGACGTGTCTGACTTGGTTAGAAGGCTAAAGCCTTGATTGCTCACTTGGAAAGGAAAACTGTTGTTTCCATCATTCATGTTTGGTGATTATACAGATAGGTGTCTACAGATTGCAGGTCATTTTCTAAACGAGATAATATATATATATATATATATCTTTTCCATGCTGCTCCTTCCTTTCAATCCCAGCTTCTTAAAATAAGAGGAAAAACACAATTCTGTAAATCTGTACTAGAGCAGGTATTTGATTTCTCTAAAAGCTCAGATATTACCACACTATCTGAGCTGCACTGCTGGGTTGCTAGAGCAGTGTTCCCACATGCACGTGTTGGGATGGTGGACTTTTATTGGGAAGGTTTGTTTGCTTCACGCAGCTGCAGAAACCAGCCTTGCTGGCCTTGCTGAAATCTGGCCTGCTTCTCTGTAGTTCTACCTGGAGCTCAGCCTATAGCAATGGAAACAGAATTCATTTCTGACAAAGCCGATGTTACTTACAGGAATAGGAGCCCTAGGAAATGTCCAAGGGCTGCATACGGAATAATACGTTTGACTATAAAGATGTCGCAGTGAATGCACTCCGTTTTGCGGACTGGTTATTTCTTTGACAAAGCAGTGGAAACGAGTTTATTAAAAATAGAGCTTCTGAGAAGAGCATCGGGGTCTCCTTGATAAATCTTTGGCTACAGCCGTTTGATGGGGTGGCCGGAGAGCTGCCAGGTCCTGGTGGAGTCTGGCTTTTCTTAAAGGAAAATG